ATATAAGTTAAAGGACAAGGTTAAAGTGTTAGACAAATATTAATTCCAGTTTTTCTAGTTTTCTATATGCAGTGCACAGGTGCAACTTGAAGAGCATATTATATGGTATAATCATTAAATCCATTCAACCAGACCTCTGAGAGTTAAAAATATATATTCTGAGGAAAAGGACTCTTTGGTCCAAGGAATGAGAATGAAACAGTGCAGAATATTTGTGTATCAAGGTGATTCCAGTTTCCAATTGGGAAAACAGGACTGTTAACACCCACATCCCCTGACAACTGTCCAATTATGTATATCACACTTGGCCTACTGTTTGCAGTAGAAGTAATCAATAAAGGATGTGGTTGAGTGAACATAGATTTTGGTTGAACCAATGCATGAAAACTTAATCATTTACTCAGAGTGGAGAAATCAAATAGAGCAGAGATGGAACAGCCACTGAGGGGTTTGTTGATTGTGCCACCAAGTTTGTGGGCTAGAGGCTGAAAGTAATAAAGCAAATGGAATCAGTGACAGGAGAAAATGTAAAAAGGTTTTCTTAATTTCATGAATTAATAGAAATGTTTTGATGTATTTTTGGCTATTTTTTATACTTCACATAAAAGCCTATGCTCCACATATAGAAAATACAAAAATTGCTAGGGCATATAACCTCTTTCAAGGTATCAGAAAGATATTTCTCACTGTTAGAACTTCACTTAGGCCAACTAGCAATTGGTTGGTATGGTTTAGCTATTTTTCAAGGGAAGTACTTTTAAAAGCACTACAGCCTAAAGTATGCTAGGATTACTGAAACGTTTTCTCCTGCACCTGATAACATGATAAACAGGTCTTTCCCACTCAAAGGGCTAATATTTTATAGTTCCTTCAAAAATCTACATGTTATTTTATAAAGCCATATACTTTCTATCTCCTTAGACATCACCCTCCTAAATGCATAAAATATAATTTCCTAAAGATATAGTCATTCATGATCCTACAGAACAGTTATGATGACTTCAGCAGAAGAGATTACATATCTACAGCAACTCATTTTCCAGTTTCATGCTAAAATGCCCTATGAGATTTTTACTCCTATTAGACTTTTATGAAAATATGCACCTTTTATAGGATTGCTCATGTGATTGAATTGGATGTATAAATCCTGTGTCCACAAGAAGTCATTACTATGGTGGACACTGGCAGAATAAGTCAAGAACATGATGCTATTATGTCAGATTTTTCCCTGGAAAATGACATGCCTAAATGCACATGATAGAGATTTTCAGTTTCCCATGGTCTGTGGAAACATCTGCAGCAAAGATTTCCCAAAAAATTCTGAAGCCATAGATCAGTTCTGAGAGATTCAGGAGGGCTCAGTCACTTTCTCCAACCTGTCACAAGGCAAGCAGCGTGAATTCTGGTAGACATTATGGTTATAATGTATTAGTTTGGGGAAAGGGTCGTCTTTTCTTTGTAAAGATATCCATCAGATTTAAAATGATTTGCACAAGTCTAGCCTAGACCAGGTAAAAATAAAAGTAAAGAAAAAGTGATCAAGATGAATATGGAGATTTTGTCGCCAACAGTAATTACCCATGCATTTATCTGATATTTTCTAAACAGGATTTCCAGAAATTGGCTTGTTTGCTATAGATCAGACATGTAAACAGCAAAAAGTTTGGTGTGAGAGTAAACTGAAACTTAGATTTTTTTTTTTCAATCTCTCTCTTTAAATTGGCTTTTCAAAGCATTGTTTATGCCCTTTCCTCCTCCAAGGAAGAAACAGTAGAGCTGGACAAGTATGATTTTGTCCACAAAAAATTCTGTTATTGAATTTTGAAAAGTAAATTTGTCTGAAATATCCATCATACTGGGTTACAGAAAGCATTCTATGAGAGATCATTACATGGCAAACAGGGATTTATCTGGAAGGACTGCTTAAGACAAAAATCCCAGAATCACAGTATAGTTGAGATTGGAAGGGATCTCTATAGATAATCTCCATCCACCTTGCTCAGAGCAGGGTCAACTAGAGCAGTGTCCAGTGGAGTTCTGAGTGACTTTGCAAGTCTCTTTGGAGACTCTGCAACCTGTCCCAGCATTGACCCTCACAGGAATTTTTTTTCTTTTTCTTTTTGAACAGAAACTCATGTACTTCAGTTTGTGCCCACTGCCTCTTGTCCTGTCACTGAACACCACTGAGGAGAGACTGGCTCCCTCTTCTTTACTGCTACGTCAGAGGTACTGACAAGATCCCCTCTGAGCCTTCTCTTCCAATTCCAGCTCCCTCCAAAGACAGATACTCCCAATCCCTTAGTCATCTTTGCAGCCCTTCTCTGGACTCACTCCACTATGTCCACCTCTCTCTTGTACTAGGAAGCCCAGTATGGGACACAGCACCCTTGGGGCGACCTCACCAGTGCCGAGCAGAGGCAAAGAACCATTTCCATCCACCTGCTCGCAGCACTTTGCCTACTGCAGCCCCGGATCCCATTGGTTGCCTTTGCCGTGCGTGTGCCTTGCTGTCTTGTGGCAACTTTGAATTTTTGGTCAACTGAATGTGAGAATTCAGTTCTGGCTCAACTTCAGTTGCAAAGTTGTTCAAGTTACTGAAATTTGGTGGGATGAATCTCATAACTGCATTATGGCTATTGATGGCTACAGGATGTTCAGAAGGGACAGGAAAGGAAGGCAGAGTGGTCTTGCCCTCTACATCAAGAAGTGGACAGAGTGTGAAGAACTGTCTCTGAAGAATAGCCACGAGCAGGTTGAAAGCTTATGGGTAAGAATTAGAGACCAAAGCAACAAAGAGAACCTTGTGGTTGGTGTCTACTATAGGCCTCCCAATCAAGGGGAATCTATTGACGAAGCATTCTCACTCCAGCTACAGGAGGCTCTTGTCCTGCTGGGGGACTTCTACTCCACCCTGGTGAGACCCCACCTGCAGTACTGTGTTCAGCTCTGGGGCCCTCAACACAAGAAGGATGTGGACTTGTTGGAGTGGGTCCAGAAGAGTGCCACAAAAAGGATCAGAGGGATTGAACACCTCCCCTATGAAGAAAGAATTGGGGTTGTTCAGTCTAGGGAAGAGAAGGCTCCAGGGAGACCTTATGGTGGCTTTCCAGTACTTAAGAGACTTATAAGAAGGATGGGGTCTGTTGTGATAGGACAAGGGGTCACGGTTTTAAACTAGAAGACGATAGACTAGAGAGAAGGAAGAAATTTATTTACAATGAGGGTGGTGAAACACTGGAAGAGGTTGCCCAGAGAGATGGTAGATGTCCCAACCCTGAAAAGATTCAAGATCAGGCTGGACGGATCTCTGAGCAACCTGATCTAGTTAAAGATGTCCGGGCTCACTGCAGGGGGGTGTTGGACTGGATGTTCTTTAAAGGTCCCTTCCAACCCCAGCTATTCTATGAATCTACGACTCTATGATTTACAGGCACCCAGAATTTGCTAAGTAATAGTTTCTCAAATGCCTGAAAGGTGCTGAGAATCACCATAATGTTTTACAGGACTGAGCAGTTTATGCCTATCATAGACATAAAGCTCTTCAAAGCAGGCACATAGGTAAGGTGTATAATTTGGTTAATGCTTTCAGGGCATAACTACCAGATAGGTTTTATAAAAAATACCATAGCAGCCATTTTCCAGAGGAAGTGTTTACAGTTTTGTCTTTACCTGTGCAATAGATTAGCAGTTAAATTCCTGATCCTAGACATAAGTTCCTCCTTCAGTTGAACCATTCAGAATGCTCCTTTCCTAGAAGAATGCCTTAAAAACTGAACTGGGGAGTCTTAGTAGTCTTAGCTTCCCCTTTCATTTCTCCTTACCTACTGGAAACATTGAGACCGGCCAGTCTCAGATAGCTAGAGAATGCTCCCAGAATATGTGAAGTACAGTTTAGATGCAGAAGAAAATCACTAGCCATTCCCTCTTCAGCTCTGCTTTTAAGAAAAGATTTTGCACTGGCATGGTCTTTCAGAGGAAGAGTTCAGCAACCTGACTTCAGAAGGATCTCCAAATCTGTAACTTCACAGAATCACAGAATCATCCAGGTTGGAAAAGACCCTTGGGATCATCGTGTCCAACCATTAACCCTACTCGCAAGTTCACCCCTAGACCATATCACTCAACACTACATCCAAGCAATGCTTAAACCCAGCCAGGGAGGGTGACTCAACCCCGTCCCTGGGCAGCCTGTTCCAATATCCCACAACTCCTTCCATGAAGAACTTCTTCCTAGTGTCTAGTCTAAACCTACCTTGTTTAAGCTTGAAGCTATTAAACTTCCAAGTAAATAAATGTATGTTCTCTCATTCCAGAATGCTTAAATCACAAAGAGATGGAATTAATATACATGGTTTTCTAGGAGTGTCCTCTTGGCTATCTTAGGTCATCCTCTATCCAGACTGCTGCTTTTTGGAAATACAAGGAACCCGTGAATGTTACTGAAAGCTCAGACACCTTTGCACTCATTGCAGTCACTCATTGTAACAGCTGATGTTGTAACAAATAAATATTTCTCAGGCTTAAGACAGTTTTGAAAATGGGACCTGGTATTCTAAGTCTGTTCTGGAGCTTTTTGAACATCTTATCCCATGTGCTTATTTAGGATGCTCAGAATATGAGTAGCCATGAATTATGTATCAGACAGCCGAAGAGAACTGTGATTATGGCTGGTCCCTCTATGCTCTGAAAGGCCAAGAGACAAGGTATCTAACTCACACAGGAGAATTCGCCCTGCACATTGAAATAAACCTGGTGACAAGTCCTCCTCCACAAAAAATTGCCAACCTCTGTGATGAATCCTATGCGCTGAACTCCCCAAACATAAGATGAATCAAGGACAAGCTGCAATCTTCACTTGAATCTTTTTCTCCTACTTCATATGATAATTGCATAAGACTACTTTATGCCACGTTTATTTGTGCAAGACGTTGAAGTAGTTTCAAACTAATTCACGTGGAAGAAGATTTTAATGACAGACACTGAGGCAAAAACACTGAAGACAAGCATCTTATTTGCAACAAATTTATGTTTAGTTACACATGCACAAACCACCAATGCCTCCACAGAAGAAGTGAGTGCACTAAAAACTACAGTTCAGAAAAGATTACACTGAGATACCTACTGAAGCTTGGTATATTCTTCAAGGTTTTTTGAGGGTTTTTATCCTGGAAAATATGCCTAGATTTCTATTTACCAGTAAGGACCCTCCAAAACTTGTAGAGGAAAAAAACCAAGCCCCAAAATGTGAAGAAAAAAGACATATTATAGTTTAGAGGTAAAGAAAATCTTGGCTTGTACACTAAAAAAAAATGTGTACCAGTTTAAAACAACTTTCGATGAAAGGGTCACTTACTGCAAGAAGGGCACTGCTTAAAATTTAAGCAGTCAGTAATGGGAAGCGACAGACCTCTAACAATTTAAGTCTTTCACAGTTGAATGAATCTGCACTGACAGTCAAACAAGGATTTGCTAACCTACCTTACTAGGATCTTGGCTATAGCTGCATATGCTCTGCCTAGGCCAGCAGAATCACAAAGTGATGTGAAGATTTTTACAGAGGTGTTCAAAATCTGTGAAACAGGAGAATAAAAAACAATAAATACAATGCTAGGAATCTCTACGGGGGTTTTTTTGTCAGTCTCTGTGTCCATATGAACAAAATTATTTTTCCCACTTGTACATTTATTCTTTAATTAACTGTACGGGACTAGATTTTTGATCACCCCTTATCATTGTTTGAAATTACTCAATAATTACAAATTAAAAAGATGTAACTTGCATTTAAATCCCTGTTCTTTGATACTTTCCAAAAAACAAAGATGTATTACCTGATTAGCAACAAAAATTTCCTTATCCATAATTTAACAAGATTTTAAGATGCTGTGCTTTTATGAATTTTTGATAATCAATACCTGAAGACAGTATCCTTTGTATTCGTGGAATTTTAGAACAATATGCTGAAATACAAGTTAATATTATTTTTCCTTCTTTAAACTGTCACTATGACAACTTTTCTCAGTACAATTCAGATACCCCCAAAAAGTGATTATAGGTTATACATTTAAATTATGTTGGCTTATTTTACAACTAATTGTTCATGTACAGAAGCAATTTGTTAACAATTGCTTGCAATGTACTCTATTATCATGATCCCTCCCATAACCGAAGGCTTATTGCTGCTGCATAAAAACATACGATTTTAATTCTAACACTGACATCACCTGTATTGCATAATTTCTCTTTTCATCCTTTTTTTTCCAATGGTGGTGACAGCAGAGTGCGTATACAATTAAATCCTACTATTTCTTCTCTTCCTGTTTGTTGCTTGACCCAACCTATTACACACATGAGAAAACAGGAAATCTCCAAAGACTATCTATGGAAATCCTTTTTGCACGTTTCCAAGAAAGGAGTAGTGAATGTCATTTACCAGCTCTGAAAGGGGGATGGGAGATGCCCAGGGACATATGACAGTATCCTGCATGCCCCAAGATGTAAAAGATAGGGTATTTTCTATTAAGACTGCATCCCTTGTCATTGGCAAAGTCATGGTTAAAATGAAGATTACCTGTGTGTGCTAATGCTATGGACATCACCTTTTCTATCACTGTTTCCTTTACTCAGACTTCCTAGTTCTTGAAAGAGTTTTACTACATGCAGGAGTATCCCTGGACATGGCTCTTATTTTTTACTTAAAAAGCTCTGTGTGTACTAACAGTAGCACTTATTAATGTGCACTGTGCTATATATCATCCCTCAAGTACTTTCTTATCAGGTATGTTTTCATATACATCCGCATTGCACCCTATACTTTAAGGTCATCGCCAATTGAGTTATCAACGCGTAAGATATGACAAAAAGCGTATAAAGGCACCTCAGTTAGGAAGTTGTCACATCAGTTCAGAATTCACCCTAAACTGAATGCATACTCAAAGTTGTCATGATCTGCAGTGCATCCTTCTAATAATCTAGGATGGTAACAGAAACACACAAAAGTGACCACAAAACAGTGCCTGGTTTTGCATTTAACTCAGAGTGTAATTAGAAAACCTGCCATAAGAGAATCAGGAGGTTTCCATAATTTTATGTATTGGACTGATCGGAAATCACTCCTACTTTAAATCGGCCTCTGAATATTAAACTAAGACATAAGGCCTCTAGTCATTACTGTCTACCACAGAAAGGTTACTTAGGCACTTAAGGCTTAGGCTACTGTATGTTTTTTTTTTCTATGAAAGATATCATAAAGCCTAAAAAATACAGATAAAACTAAGGAAAAACCCATAGAGTAGCTTAAGTAAAAAGTTGGCTCACTCCATCTCTGCAACAGGTGCTAGAAAGAAGTAAATAATAAAGCCACTCATTCATATTGATGAAAAGTGCTCATTTCAGTCCCAGGTTACTGCTACTCTACACAAATCACTTGTTTCATTCTAAATAATGATGAAATAACAGTAATCAAATCATCTACATGAAAGGGACTAAGTCCTGATAAATTACAATAGAAAATATACTCTTTATGTCTGTTTTTCAAGTAAATCCTCCAGCTTCAGAAACTATGTAGGGACACAAAAAGAGACACATTCTTGATGGAAGAAGAAGCCGTGTAGTGTCTCTGTATGCTACAATTACCCTGTATCCATTTATTTGGAGGAAGTGAAGCGGGGCTTCCTCATCCATGGGGCAAGCTTTACCTTCAATATTCGGTATTAGGAAATAGGGCAGGATAAAATGCTGGATTAACATGTAAGCATTAATGCATTGAACCCAAAGCCTCATGCCATTACAGTGCTCTTTTAATTTTCATTCAAAATAAAAAACTATAAAGCTTGCATGCTGGCAGATCAAGTGGAATTGACACAGTGACATCTACCAGCATTTGTAAGCAACCCGAAAACAACAAATGGACATGAAAACTTTACTGTTTATTTTCACAGGTTATGAACAATCACTCCCTCTAACTGGATTCCTATGAATATCATGCACGTGGCATGAGAGTGTTAGTGGGTATGGCTGGGCAGTCATCTATTAGCTCTCTGACAAGTGGATAAATACTGGCAACCCATATCATTTGGAACTAATGGAATTTATAGGCTCCCATCAAAGTTCTTCTACCTGTAGACAGAAATATAGCCAGAAATGGATCTTTTACATACATATTTTGGCCAACCTGTGCAGAGGACAGTGACATCCAAGGAAGAGGAACATATCAGTAACAATGCTGAAAACTCCTAAACAAATGTGCAGTTTTGCTGCATTTGTGGCCCTAGAGAACATAGCTGTCATTACACAAGGAAAAAGGATGGAAAAATTGTTTTAGACAGCAGAAAATCCTCTTCTTAATAAAGTATCATGCTTCTGCTTCAGTATTCTGTGCAAATATTGTGCATTCAAGCATCATGTCGGTAATTTCTTCATGTTAAGGAAACGTAAATAAAAATATATAACATTGGGTAAAGAGGTATTGAATGGGACCTCATAAGAATCTATACCAATAATGTAGGGATTATATGTCCATAAAGTGTATACTCAGACCAAGTTTTCAGAGATTTAGAGTTACTGAAGGGGCAAAATGTCTTGGTTTATTGTTGTTGGTTGTTTTTTTAATTTATTTTGATGAGGTTTTTGAATTAGTTGTGTACAAATTGTTCTGGGGAAGAAAGCAATAGATTTATCTAGGCTCCATTTTAAAATTTCCATACTATTTCAAATAGAGTTTGATACTCTTAGCAACTAGTGCAAAAAGATCCTTGTATATGCAGTTGAACAGAGTAATGTACAGTTCTTTCTGTCTCTAAAATGAAAATATAAGTTCAACAAAATAAATATTATAAATACTGTACGGACTGTGGTCAAGAATTGATTTTTGGCTCCATGTGACCAAACACACTGACTGTCTCCAACTTCCTACTTCTATGGGTCTGCAGTGAAAATACTGATTAAAAAACAAAATAATATAAAAATTGAAGTCTAATACAGAAATGAGCAGTAGGTTTCAATCACCTGTTTGCATTTGTGCAGGATGTGAGAAGGTGGCAGGGTGAAGACTTCAACTTTGTCTTACACATTACAGATAACTGTCCCAAATGCCATCCACTATTCCTTTTGTGTATGCAGGAAAAAAAAAAGAAAAAGAAAAAAAAAAAGTAGCTTTCATGGCTCCAAACCAGAAAAATAAATAAATTAGGATATATCACCCAGTTTCCCTTGTTTTCTTGCTTAGCACTAAAAGCTGGATGCAGGTGCACCTGGGAGGAGGACAGCATTTACACAATCAACTCTCTTCCTGGGCCTTTGCAAGTCTATCGTGGCTACAATTAGTTACGGAATGAAAATAAAGTAATAAGCTCTGCTCAAATCTGCAAACTAGATCGTATTTTGTGGGATAGCTCTTGCACTAATTCTCTGGGTAGTGGTGAATTTCACATCTACCTCCTTTGCCAAGAAAAATATTAGTCGGATCTCAGGCCCAGATTTGCTTCCCAGTTATCTCAGCATTATGCCAGTGCGACTCTCCTGGGGTTATTCCATTAATATAAAACAGATACACCAGCTCCTCCCTCAAGACTCTCCCTCCCCCAAATCCTATCCCTTATTTTTTATTGCTGCCACATCTGTATCTCTTTTATACAGACGTAAAACCATGCACACACCTCACTGGCATACACTGAGCACTTGGAAAAAATCACATAGGCTGTGCTAAACATTGATACATCTGAGGATAATGGACATAAGAGTAAAACATAAGAGTAAAAATCAAAGGTATGAATTTATGTTGAATAAAGAAAGTCTATCCAACTCAACAAAAGATTAGCACTACTACTAGCATTTCATTATTTCAGTAAAATATATTACTCTGACAAAAATATGATGGGATAATATTGGTTTATGATACTGTAACTTTAAAAACCAGAAAACTCTCAGTTTTGCACTTGATATTGTTGTCAAACTTTATTGGAAATACACTTATTCTGATTTCTGAAAATTTAGTTGTGTTTAGCCATTTCACAGCTGGTAAGCAGCAAAGATGCTTCTGCCTCATTTACAGATCTTGAACATGAATCAGACAATCAACTGGAACATTAGTCAAAGAGATCAGCAGCTAATGATTTCTGACAGGTGCTGCAGTAACAGACTAAGGCCCAGCCTGGCTAGCAGCATATGACAATATTTTTTCAGAGTCAGCCATAGATGTTGGTAGACAGACAATGCAACTCGATGAGACTACTGGCCTCCTACTCCTTAGTACCTCTTAAATATTCTCAGAAAAAACCACATAGGTCTGACTGCCACTAAATAATTATTTCCATACACTCCAGTGAAAAAAGAGACAATAGAACTGTATGCATAGGCATTTTGCAGTTCAGTGAACTCTCTCCCATAGCTCCCCAAGAAATGCATATTTAAAAATGCCTAAAAAGCACGGTCTTTACTACTATAATTTAAGTGGTTACATGCCTCTGGCCATCCTGAGTAAGATCAAAGGAGAGTTTCACAATACACACCCAGATGTGTTCTTATTTTGCTGAAAACACAGGGTGAGAGGTTGGATAGCAACAAGAGAATTGTA